TAAAAAGCATTGACATTGGCTATTAGGAATACTTAGAGAATAAATACTGGGTCATCTCTCTGCCTAAGGTAAGAGACAGAAATTTGACAAACAGGCCAAAATCATTAACCTATTGATAATCCATTCCAGAAATCCTTGACTCTTGGACAAAGAGATTAAAAAGCTGGAATCTATCCAGTAGCATCCTTAGTGTTGTGACATGCCTACTGCAGAATTGTCCTTCAACAGTGTAAACATATGTTACATCTTTAAGGAATGAGAAGAAACAGTGAGAGGATAGCTATTAAAAAGTTAGGGCTCTCTTCTGCATTTCGTAGTAAATTGATGTAATCACATCATGCATGCTGAGGCCTCATCCTTTCTCTGCTCTCTGCAGATGCAGCCTGCAAGCAAACTGAGTATTTGGAATGAATTCCCTCAGTTGACACATGCTATAGGAATGATATAACCACCATGTAGGAAGTGTAAAACTGGTAGAGCTTGATTTGTAAGCATCACAGTTCCCTCCTTATAATGAAAATTGTGTGCACTAAATTACTAACAGAAGAAATCACTTGGAGAAATGCTTATATTAAAAGTGTAGAGCCTCAACAGGACCACAGCAATCAATTACCCTAAACTGAAGCCCTGGCAGCTTCCATGAATTGCTATTGATTTCAGCTCCTAGTCAGTGAATATTTCTAGGTCTAGGCTAGGATGTAGGTGTGAGATGCAGACAAAATTAGGAGCTGGAACAGACCTCTGTGGAAAACACAAGTAATAGCCAAGTCTGGAAGGATGTGCTATGCTGAATTTTATTTTTTGAAAGTGTTTACAAATTTAAAAAGAAAACAAATCCCACTCAGGGGTAAAAATAAAGTGACAAAACAGCATGTATTGAAATAAAAAGAGGATTTTTTTTTCTTATGAAGTTACTAAGGAAAATTCTGTCTTTTCCTAAATAAAGCCTGTCTTCTGCATTGCAGTTAAGATGCAGTTAAATTCTTTTCTGCAGCCTGAATGTGAATATGCCAGTGATTTCCTTCCTTCAGCGAACATGCAGAAGATACAAAAAGGAATCCAAATGAATGCAACTAGGAATAAGTCCTTTATGTGCTGTATCTTCTGAGTTGTAAGTTTGTTATCTACAAGATTTGGTTTCTGATAGTATTCCTTGTTGGTTTCTAGAAGATGAAGCAGCTGTTTCTTTATGCATACTGTTCACTTCAAAGGGAATTTAATCTGTTTTGAGGAAAGAGCTATGTATCCATTATCATACAGGGAAACTCATTCTGGAACCTGTTTTGCTCAGCAGGAGCCCTATGTATTTTCCACTGTCTCGTAATACATGTTCTGGCATGAGCATTAAGCACACATGCTCATGTATGCTCTGGCTGATCAAATAGAGAAGTCTGATCAGCTGACATTTTGGATCAAGGTGAGGGTTGTAACCTGCACTAGAAGAAACTTCATGGAGCGGCTTCTCGCAGAGGCATCTCACATTTTTCTGCTTGACTAGTGGCCCAGAGGCAGTGGAACAAATCATCTTCGTCCTGTTGTCCTCATTTTATTATCAGCTGCGCAACAGCAGCACAAATGGAATACAGCTGATCATACAGTGTAACTGAATTCTGCACTCAGATTGCATCCCTCCAACTGCGTGTTGTTGCGCATTGTTAATTGTGCTTTTCCTTAAGCAATAGTGGTGATACCTGGTATGTAAGGAGGTGGCAAATAGGTGGCATAGGAGGAACAGGGACTTGTTCTAATGTTAGGGACTGAAAATTCTGCTAATGCATTCCCTATAGCTGCCAAGGCACCAGATCAGCCTTCTCTTAGTGCAATCTGCCAGGGCTGGAAATTCCTCCTTGGCAAGCATGTATGAGAGTGAAAGCAGTGTGAAGACCTTTCTTATTTTCTGAGAGAAATTCCTGTTCAGGCCCAATAGCACTAAGGTCTGTTGTTGTTTTTTTTTTAAGGACAACAGTTATATCCCTGTGCACTGCCAATTGTAGGCTGTTAAGTCATTCGTTCTCTTTGAAAGTGTTGGTCTTTATGTTTTTTTTGCACACCTTGGAAATGCATCACATGATGTGGTAGACTAGGACTCAAATGTGACTTTGATGCTTGACATGTGGGTGAACTGAGGGAGAAGGACTGCGGCCTGATCCAGACATCTTTCCATGAGATAAAATTGCAAGGGAAGCCATTAGTTTAGGAGTGGCTCTATAGCTTTCTGACATTAGAATACTTTTCAGCAATGACATTTTCATTTAATCAATTTCTGCCAAATATCCTTTTCATTGAGCTCTGCTAGTTCACCAAATGGCAGATTTCTGAGCAACACTGTCAGGGCCAAGTTTTTAGATATTTTCCTGCTGAGAGACATTGTGTTTAAAAAGGGGAAAAAAAGGGAAGATGGAAAAATGGAAATGCAGTGTCTCATGGGAGATGCTTGCCCATGTCATACTAGTTTAAGTACAGTTTCCACACATCACATGTCAAGCTGTATTTGATTGTTTTCAAATAGATGGCAAAAATCACAAGAGGAGGAAAATATTCTTTTGTGTGACATGCTCTTCATCTGATAGACTGGGTTTTATAGCTGTCAAAGCAAAAGCTGTTTTTCCTTCTATTGCTTGGAGTGTCTTCCACAGCTCTCTATTCCTTTGATTATTCCCCTTAATACAAGTGTTAGTTGTTTTTTTTCTAAATCCGAGGAAACAATGAATTTCCTGTGGTGCATTTTCTCCATGATCCTCAGTAGGCAATGATTTTTTTCCTCAGTGGAGATTTAGATCACATCTGGAAATACAGTCTGTTTAAAGTATTTTATGCTTTTCTGGCAGGCAAATGGAATGCTTAATTTCATTATTCAGCATAGGGTTATTTATTTTATACAGTGAAGGGAAATTCGTCAACATTGTCCACAACATCCAGAAAAATGATACTTACCAGGACTCTTCACATACTCTATTTATTTTTTATATCTTTCTCATTGCTCAGCAATAATTCATCTCTATGCTGAGAGGTGAAATTCTTGTATTGAGTTACTATAATTTCTCTGAACTCCTGAAAGCAATTCAATCACTGAACGCAATTGCTTTCACTTAAATGTACTTCTTGAGACAGATATACAAAACACAAATAACTGAATAAAGGTTATTTTTCTTCCTATTAATTTTCAAGACGATTTAGTGATAATTTATAAGATTAGGTAAATCAATGTAGCTACATCTTTCATTGCACTAATATTAATCATGGTGGATTATTGGAGATGGATGTGAAAGTGCAAGAGGGAATGCAGTTGAAGTGAAATATTAATTCATTTCCCAGTTGTTATTGAATGTCACGAAGTATTTATAATCTTGCTGATGCTTTGCTTTTAAAATCATGCGGTGTAAAATAGTCAGTGTGTGGTATTTGTATATGCAGAGTCCTCAAAATAATTATCTCTGAATCTCTTGTATTGTTATGTTTAATTCTACTGCAGTGTCTCTAAATCTGCATTTTTGGGAAGATGAAAGTACAGAATATAAAGTTGGTGATGGACTCAACCTTACTCCCGCAGAAATCAATTAAAAATCTTTCATTAGGAAATGTGAACAGAGGGAACTGAAACCAGCCCAGTATCACTGAGACATGATTTCTCTTGCCATTGGTAAAACAGATTTTCTCATTTATCTTATCCTCTGAGTTGTTTAAATTTTGAATGTCAGCTGATTCAAATTTTATGTTTGGGGAATCCAGGCACTGAGATGATCTGGGGTTAGAGAACTGAAGTGGGGCTCAATAGATTTGAGTTTGTTCTGTCGTGCATTTCCCATGTGATCTTATGCAAATCATTTTCTGTCTCTCTGAGCCTCATCAGCAAAATAGGGTAATGTTACTCTTCTTCATCTTCCAAGGATTTGTTAACATTTGGACGGCTTATCTACAGTGGATTATCTAGCGGCCATGTGAAAATGCACAGTCTTATTTAAATACACTGCTTTACATATGCACTCTTCTTTCATTTTATATATACTGCTTTCTTAGAGCTTTCTCATGAGACTCTTTCATTCTTTATCAGCAATCTTCCACAGGCTGGCCTTTTCAAAATAAATGCTTGCATGGTTACTCCCCAAAGTAGGTAGCATGTATGGGTGGATACATATTGGGAAGGCCTCGAGTGAGTTGCACTTGATGTGGATAATATCTGGTGTTCCAACTGACAGATCTGTGCTTGGGAAACTACATTTTTGTTGTTTCTTTTGTTCCAGCTTATGTCCACTTAAATGATCCAGATGTATTGTTCTTGATTACAGAAATTAATATTGATTTCAGTATTGAGCATCTTTTATGTGAAAAGAAGAATGAAATTTCTAATACTTTTGCAAGTATTAGAGTCCGGGCAGTAAAATCAACACTGTGCTCAATTTCGTTTTGCAAAACTTTTTTTTTTTTTTTTTTTTTTAAACTAAATGATAATATTAGATATGTACACAAAATTGTTTGGCTAAGTTCTGGTTTTGTACACATTTGCCTTTGCAAAAACATGTTTGTTGTTTGAGGCTTTTAACTTATGGCACACATACTGTTTAGATTCAGATGCCTGTTTATAAAACCCAGTGAACCTTTCCTGGAGTGAGCAGGTCTGAGTTGTACATTGTTCTCTATCCATCAGCGTTATCTGGGGTACAGCAGTAATGTCAATGTCAAATACAGGAGATTTAGCTACCTGCTCTCACTTGGTTTAATGAAGGTGGGAATTCCAAATCTTAAATACTATTTATTTGATTTCTCTATGTACACAGCATGGACAAATGTTGACTACTCATGACATCTGCTGTAGAACTGTTATCCAGTAGTGGTTTTTGGATTCTGTCTGGATGAGGCAAACAAATGCCCCGTCTAGAACATCTCTGTCTAAGAGTATTAAGTTTATGGATGTTGTTTAGATCACTATGCTTCCTTCAAGGAGGCTGTAAGAGTCATAACCTGCAAACAACTCAATTTTCCTTAATGAAACTTCCGTTCAGACATTGTAGATATAAAGCCAGCCAATATGGAGGACCTGACAGAAGTAATTACAGCCTCTGAGTTTCATCCCCATCACTGCAATCTCTTTGTCTACAGCAGCAGCAAAGGCTCCCTGAGACTCTGTGACATGAGAGCATCAGCCCTCTGTGACAAACATTCCAAGCGTAAGTCCTTCCTTATGTTTATTGTACTTTGTGTCGATCCCTTCCATCCTCAACAAGTTTGTGATTAATCAGGCAACTCAAATAAAAACCCCTAGAAACAAAAACCACCCAAAGCTACCATACTGTGTTCTCATAGAAGATGTCATGTCTTAATGTGATTTTATATAGCGTGTAAGACTTTGAGATGTAGCCTCTAATTCACAACCACTTGTGTTTGAAGCCTACCTAAGAACAAGTAGAGCGTGAAGCTGTCCTCAAACAAAGGGATGAAGGAAAACGTGTGTTTGTAATGTCTTGCTGGTAAGACAGAATATAGGCTATGCCACCACTATCCTGGCAAGCCCAGGTGCTTTTCCTTATGCAATCAATCTTTTTATTCCTTATCTTCTAAGACTGAAAAACAGCAGGCATTGTGTCATGTGGTAGTTTCCAGTGAGGAGCTGAGAACCTAATGAGCTGTGGTGATTTTGCATTAGGCACCTTAAGGACTGGACTTCTAGAACACTTTTATCTCACAGAATCAGGTCTTCACTGTCTTTGGCAATGTTCAGTCATTGGGAAGGAAATCTGGGAGAAACTTTCTTAGTGCAGGGGTCATGTAAGTGGTTTTGTATCAGTCAGTTTGTATCTGAACCTTTTGAGGTAGGTGGGCCTTATTAGTAGGACAGGGAAAAGAAAATACTTGAAGATTTAAGTGAGACTTAAGCACTGCATAACTTAGCACAGTTATTTTTTTTTTAACTGAAATAAATTAAAAAACAGTAAAGAGTCTTGGGGAAGACCTTTTGGCTGCAAGGAGTACTGCATGTGCTCATAACCTCTTAGGTGGTGATTTCCAACTGAAGAGAATAAACTTTCAGGACAAGTTGCTGAGTGTTTTACGTTCGTTAGCTCTATGCCCTCATACATGCAGGAGGAATCATTACTATGAAGTAAAAGGCAAGCACAGTCTGACCTGTTGCATTGTTGTGAGTTATCCTGTCCCATAATACTTTCATTTCTCCCTACTAATACGTCCTTCTTGCCCCTGTAATTTAGTGCCATGTGCCAATCATAACTTATTAAAACAAGAATATAGTAACCCTCAATGAAAGAAGGCATTTTATGCCAGAAGGGAGTTCAGGGTCGAATGGTCTTTGATTAAACCCTATTTTCCAGATCTGTGAGTTAGAAAATAGCCATTTAATGTAGCATTGCTGCAATAAGTCAAGCTCATTGAGAAGCCAAGTGTGTAGAGCATGTACAGTACAAAATTGAGAAGGTAATAGTAGAACTTTCAAAGGATTAAAAGGAGAAAACCTATTGATTGGAGTGATTTCAGTATACATCTCAGAAGCATGCAAAACTGATGATGTAAAGACTGTAGCAACCAGAAAGGATGTATCTTTGGAATCAAACAATCTGGGAGATCAAATGCTTGCATGATCACCTCTCTAGTACATTCTTGTTGCATCTGATTCCTCTTTACTGTTGTTTTGTACATGGTAACATGCATGATTGACATCTTACTCTCCTAGCTCAACTTCTCTTCATGCCTTTCGTACTCACGACTGGCATGACTTTCCAAACAAAATAGCTATACTAGAGTCACTGTAAACTCTCGTGTTCTCCCATGCAACTCTACTTTCTTCAGTCAGTCTCATTTCATGACAACCTGTACTTCAGATGCTGTTCTGAGATTGTGGTGAGCATATGTATTTTTAGGGATAAAAGACCCAATATTACTTATAAAAATACCTGGATGCTGAGGATATGTTGTGAACTTCTGGTTTTATTTTTTTCCAAGACCTTTTGTTATACAAATCTCTATGGTTAGGCTGGTGTCTCTTGCAGCTTTTGGAGGAAGGGCCCCTCCATTTCCGCAAGTCTAGAGCATGCTACAAGTAATTACTGTGTTATACTATATAAATAAATGTCAAAGTTAATATCTGTAGTAGAAATCACTGGCACAGGATGTTAATAAATTATACTGTTGTTGAAGATTTCTGTTTTGCTAAATTCAGTGGTGAAATCTCTCTATTCAGCATCAGTGACAGCGATGCTACATGGTTTTCCATATTAATGTTTTATGGCTCTGACATGGAAGAGACTTCTGTATCTGCTTATCTTTGGTGCCTGGGCTGAGATTGATTAGCAAGCTGCCAATCTGTATGATGAGTTGTAGTGGGAATCTCTGTCCCACAGAAAAACTGTCTCAAACTACCAAATCCATCCATAAGGCATTGAAAGAATATCAGGTCAGTAGCTGAGTTTTGAATGGTCTTTGAGATACCGATAAGGTATGATAAAATATGCTATTTTTCTAATAGACTACCTGAAACTGCTTCTTATAACACATCTTTAATAGATCATACAATGCTGGGTGAACAGTCAGAAGCAAAACGTATGTGGCCATTACAAATGGATATCCAGGAGAGCCCGATCTGCAACTGTAGGAGAGATACATACATAATACTGCTTCATTTTATTGTCAGACTTGGCAAATAGTAGGAGATAGATAGTTCATCAAAATTTTCTGGAGAGGGGCATAAAAAAAGACTCATAACCCTTCTTATTTAGAACATTAGAGGAAAAAAGTGTTTTTGCAATCTGTGGGATTACAGGTAAAGATTTAAAATGATTACGAAAGTCAGACTCCAGCATGAAGAAATGGGGAAATGATTTAAATATTATGGAAGAAGATCAATATTTATATCAATATTAAAATATTCATCTAAATAATACGGGATAATGATGTTTTTTTTTTGAGGTGTAATTCAGGCAACGTGTGACAGTGCAGTGTATAAAGGCAGTATGCAGGGAATCTGTGAGAGCTGGAAAACTAGGGGAGCTAACAGCTGAAATAACCTCATTGTTAGAGCAACCAGCTAGGAGCATCCAAGCAACAGAGGAACCTGTCCCTAATTCCAGAAATTGTGATACAAAATATTCAGTTAATAAAGAAGACAAGTTAGAGGCTATTGATGCATTATGATTCTCCTGAATGAAGAATTCTTGCAGCAACTTAAGGCACAACTGTTTGATTAATGAATAGTTGCCAACTTGTTTTGTCTCACTAATGCTGTGTTCAGAATTCCTTATGAATGTGCTGGGAGATACATTCTTCCAAACAGCTGGTAGACTAGGTAGGTACATACTGCTGTTTCAGCACATCATGCATTGAAGCAGCCAGTGAGAGAAAACAGCTTGAGCATGTGAATCTGGAAAGAAATGAAAGAAATTTTTCAAGAGTTTATCAGAATTACTAAGCTCAGAGTTAAGAGGAAAATGGAAACTGTATATTTATGCAGCATGGAAATTTAAGTCACTGGAGCATAACTCTTATTGATATTCAGTGTAATAGCCTTAATATCTTAAGAGTTATTGCATACTTTAGAAGATGTAATCTGCTTAAATGTCATATGTTGCTTTAAGCATTTTTTTAGTGTTCATTTCTTAATGTCTTTGTAGACTAAAAAATTGTTTCCAATTATCCATTACCCATGTGCAAAATTTAGAAAAAAAATATTTCAGAGAAAAAGGGGGTTCAGTTTCAGATTTATTGCCTCTATTTCCATAGTGGTCTCTAGAATAGAAACTTGGGGTCATCCTCCCCCTTATTTGAAGTAGGGGATCATTTACAGATGACAGGCAGTGCTAGCAGTCATCTTCTCTGGAGTCCTCCTGAAAAGTGCAAAGCATTACTGCTGTAAAACCATAACAGTTAATTGATGTCTAAAATGTGTAAGGTGGTCTTCAGAGCAATGCACAGTGAACTCCAGGTTTGGTTTGGGACCAGATTATGCGGTGGTGTCCTTTGCTTTCCATGAGAGCCCTTGACCACATTTTTAGTTGAAATTTGGAAGTGAAAGTGCCAGCCCTTCCATTAGAAGAAATTACACTATTTTATCAGCTTGGCAGTTGACTGAGTTTGGTTATCCAATGTTTTTTTTAGAGATTGTCTTGATTTTAAACTTCAGAATTCTGGACTGTGGAAGCTGCCAAAACAGAAATCAGGGAGAATATATTTGAATGTGTTGAATTTAAAAAGTTAAATGAATGATATTTACTAACCTTTTAAGGGAGATTGCAATTACAGAGACAAGGCAGCTTTCAGACTTCTAACTGAATATGGATTATCTTTCATTTGCAACAGAGAACAACCAGAAGCACAAAAAAGCCTGTGACAGAGTATCCCTGCTGGATTTGCTAATTAATATTGACCTTTTCAAATGAATGATGCTTATTGTATGACTGGAAAAGAGACAACTTGTTTTTCTTTTATGTGAGCTTTACATTGGAAATAACGCTTTTTATTTCTGCATCTGGTTTCATGTCAAATTACCATCTGAGGGAGAGACAGCCAGCATTCTCCCTTTGTGCACTGAGAAGCTGCTGTCAAAGTAATGTCCATTTGGGCAAAATCTGCAAGGTTTTGAATGACAGGAAGGGATCTTATGTGAGTTTCCTTAATGATTTAATCCCACGCTGATAATTTTGTAATTATGACTACTACTCAGGATGTGTTCTAATTTTACACATAGTAAATACGTGCTGGATTGGATCTTTCCTTGTGCAGGACTCTTGTTGAAATGTAGTAGAAGATTGCCTTTAGCATGGGCTCCAGAGCTTCCATTCTGCTCAGTTTATATGGAAGTATAATAAAGACATTCAAAATATGGTAGTGAAGATGAGGAAATGCTTCTGCAGAAATACAATTATGTCTGTATAGTGTTTCCTCCAGTTATGCAAGATATGTTAAAATTAAATCAGAGTAAGAAAAAGACTGATTTATGTACTTCTAGCTATCAAACAGTAGGAAGAAAGAAAAGCCTGAAGCAGTGGTGAATGATTTATGATTGAAGAGGTTTCATTAACCCCTCTCCCTCAACTCACTCAACTCAACACACAGATAAAGCAAATAATTGCTGTAAGATTCTTTTAATTATTCAGACTATTAAAATTCCTGTCTTGTTTGCTTGATTTTTTAATAGCAACAAATACTGCTTTTCAATATCTCT